TGAAGACGAATGGAAAATCCATTGCGATTCACACTCTCATCTTCTTCGCCATCTACGCCGTTCTCATCCTCGCCGTACACGTGCACATCTACACCGGCTGAGCCGGTAACCGGTAAGGTGGGAAGGGAGGGGTTGGAGTAATGGTGGTGGTGGTGGTGGTGGTTTCTGGTTAAGATCTGTGGTAGTTCTTGTTGTAATTCTGTTCTAATCGCTGATTTTTTCACCGGTTAAGCTGAAAATCTTAGTGCATACATAAAAGCACAGATCTTTCATGTTGCTTTTTTGTTCCTAAAGAAATGATTTTTAGAAGCAGTTTGATTTTATTTAGTTGGGTAAGCACTTCGATTAGGTTTGGAGTGTGTAGAGGGCATGATCATCGTAATTTTTAAATACAGGGTTTCCATACTAAGCCTCATTTTCAATGCAATTTTTTCCATAATTTAATTGTATTATCGGAGGGAGATTTAGATATGCATAATACATGTGTGTATGTGTGTGGTGGGGGGTAAAAAATTCGACTTCGTATTTTATAATTAAAAAAATTCAATTTGCTTGGAATGCAATATTAGCTTGATTCTTTGGAATTATATTCTAATTTAGATAATATAATTTTTTTATTAGTTCAAGTTGGAATCATATTCTAACCCTTGTCTCCAAAAAAGAATAAAAGCTTTGAGCTATTCGGGGACTTTCAGATTGGCTTATAATTTTAAGCCTTAACTTTGTTTTAGTTTATGGGTAAGGCATATTATAAATCCAGCAAGTTTATTCAATTTCTACATGTGAGATTGAATTCCCATATGTTAAAATTTGTTTAAGATGAGAGTAGTGAATTCTTATTTAGATTTAGTTTATAGGTTAAGTAAGGTTTATAAGTTATGGAAGTTTAATTTTTTCGATTTCTACATTTGAGATTGAATGATTTCCTATTATTAAAACTTTTTAAGAGGAATTTAAGATGAGGGTTACCATAATTCTATACCATATATACATATATATATATTGGTTAATGTGGGAATTAGAAATAAAAATTGAAAATTGAATTTTACATTTAAGCTCAAAACAATTTTTTAAAAGAAATTATTTATCTAAAGTTATACTGGTTTTTAAAACCCGAATCATCAACCACTCCTAAAGTCTCTCTCTGAAAAATAATTTTTATTTTAATTTTTATTTCACATAATAAAATAAGAACATCACTATATGAGTTAATGCAATTATTATTATATATATATATAAGGATATTGTGATGCAAGGAATCCCATTAATGAGGGACGGATGTACCCACTAGCAAGAAATGTTATGGGTACGTCCGTGCCTTGTTAGTAGATTCAAGACGTTACAAATATTGAGTGATAATCTAATCAATATATAGATTTATTTATCTCTCTCTCTCTCTCTCTCTCTCTCTCTCTATATATATATATATATATATATAGAGAGAGAGAGAGAGAGAGATAGATAAGATGTATGATTTAGCATACCTATTTGTGTTGTTTCTCTTTATTCATTAGTTTTCCAAACTAAAAATTGATTCTATCTTCCCACAATTACATAGTAAATGTTAGTACTTACAAGGTTAGTTCAAGCTTGTTCATATTATTTACTTCTCAACATCCAACCAAAGACAATGTACAGTAATCCCAAACTCACAATATTAACTGTATGCATCAATTGGATATCAATGTTTAAAACTAACAATTTTTAAAAATTGTAATCTAACGGTTAAAGTACTCTTGCTTCGAGCTAACATTGTAAGTTCAATCTTAGAGTAACACTACCCTGAAAAGGAATCAACCAGACAACCAACCATACAACAATTAACAAGGCAGCCAGTCTGAAACCCAATTGAAAGGAAAAACTCAGCAATCTCAGTATTCACAAAAAGAAAAAAGAAAAAGAAAAGAAAAGACAAGAAAATTCTGTAGACAACATGAAAGTGAGAAGAGAAGGGAGAGTTTTGATATTAATTGACATGTATATGGATTCCAATTGCAATCATCAAGATGGTGAGTGTGCAGAAGTAGTTTTCATTCAAAAAAAGAAAAAGAAACGAAAAGAAAAGAAAATAAAATTCTGTAGACAATATGAAAGTGAGAAGAGAAGGGAGAACTTCGACATTAATTGACATGTATATGGATTCCAATTGCAATGATCAAGATGGTGAGTATGCAGAAGTAAATGATTGCATGAACCAAAATAGCAATCCCACTTGTAGACATGTTACCAAACTCCACTACTCTTGTCCTTGCTGGTACCTGAAACAAGAGTCCTGGTGACAACAGAATGAACAAAACCACTGCTACAACAACTGGTCCCCAATCAGCACCCATCTGCGTTTTGTCTCTCTCTGGTTTTTTTTTTCGGGTGCTCCTCTGATTTTTGCAACTTAAACACAGAGCAATGAAAGAGAAAGGGATTTTCGCTTGAAGAGAAATTTGGAGAAGAAAGTGAGGCACATTCCTAATAAGTAGTAGAAGAAGACTAATTTTCTTGAGGGTTAAGGAGATGATGATGCTAAACTTAGTGACAAAGAAGAGCAATGGGTTTAAAAGGGAGGCAAGGTATGGTGTGGCATGTGGGTCTTATTTTGCTTTTATGTGTAAAGGTTGAAGAGAGAACGAGAGAGAGAGAGAGAGAGAGAGAGAGGTTTTGTTGCATTATTTTGAAATCACTGTTCATCTCTGGCTACTTTTTTTCACTTGCTTTTGAAAATGATGAAGTTTGCTTTATTAAAGGGATCATAAAAGAACAAATGGGAATTGAAAAAAATCTTAAAGAGAGTGTAAAGTTGGTGGTGTTAAGTGTAGGCCTCTTTTGAATGACTTGATTGTTGGGTTTACCTTTTTCTCTCATGTACTGTAGCTAAACGCTTCTATTAAGCAAATGTCTTCTATTGTATTGTCGTTTCCTATTATTTTTATAAAAAAAGAATTACAACCAAAACCCTAAATTGACGAATCAAATTCTGACTTAAAAATACAGAAATACAAAACGTTTGTAATTTCATTCTATAAACTTTAAGTACTTATGAACATTTTGTAACCATTTATTGGTATTAACATTGACAAGATTTAGAAATTCTCATCTGGAATGAAGCTGTGATAAATAGGCTGACAGGTTTTCTATACAACATGATAAAAATATGACAGAAAGAAAAAGAAAAAATCCGATAAAAGAATATACAACACAAGACCACAAAAACATATTTGATACAAAATGAGTCATTTTAAATGAAATCTATTTGAAGAAAGGTCTAAGTTTGGCAGAATAAGATGTAAATGAAACATGAAAAGGTCCATCCTCTCAATTATGTCCTTGACGGTAACTTATGAAATATTTAAGGTAATTGGTTTCTAATCTAAAGCAAGTATAAGCAAGTCCAATTATTTTCATAGAAGTTTTCTAATCATATATCAGCAAAGCCTTTTTAAAAACTTGGCTGAATTAGAATTGTGATTTACAGTAAAAGCCTGTATTCCATGCTTACAATGATCTATTAGAAAACTTCTGTGAAAATAAAGGCCTTATTAAAAGCTTGGCTGAATTAGAATTGTGGTCTATAGTAAAAGCCTGTATTCCATGCTTATAATGATTTATTATTTACTTTCCATCATTCAGGCGAGGATTGGACACAAATTTACGCAGATGATAGACCATGACTTCTATGAAGAACCCAAAGGTGGCTAGGGTTTCATGGTTTTATTCCTTGGGCTCAACTTGAACTCAAAGAAGAATAGGCAAGCCCAAGGTCCACTCCCTAATGAATAACTACACTTGGATATAATCAACCAAATAAAACTACAAGTCTACACGGATCTATCAACTCCACTACTAATGTTAAGTGTCATATTATTATATCTGCATGAGTACCTAACAGTTCAAGATATGTTTTAAATTATTAAATTTTGATTATGTATATTATCATTCATTTTGAAGTCATTGTTTGTGATGCATCTTAAACTGACAAGTCATCAGTGCTAGTAATATAATATCCATGTAGGAGCACATAATTACTCAAATGTTGTAATCCCAGTTAGCGTTAAATTGAAAGGAACAAAGAAAAAAGAAATTTCACCCAACACATATTAGTTTACTTGACTAAGAGATTTGTTCTCCATTTTGATCACCTAGATTTAATTGTTATAAGAAGTAATCTGACAATTAATTCTTAAGTGCATTATATTTGTTAGAGAGTAAGCTTTTAAAATTGTAATATAAAAAATGTAATCTTGATGAGCAAGAATTGACGAACCTTATCACCAAACACCCCCTCCCCTCCACCCCAAAGGAAAAAATCCCATCTAATTGTGTACTTCAGATCATGAATGGAAGCAAATCAATACCTTTTCTCTCCCTTTATTTTCCCCTTTGACCCTTTTGTCCCCTGATCTGTTCATGCAGATTGCAGTAAAACTATATAAAAAGGCAAGAAGAACCGAGTAGAGAATGCTTACTCAATGTGACAGCCGTCCAACGAAGAGGAAGATGCCAAATGCATGCCGTCCTTGGGGGTTGTAGCTGTCAAAGCAACGTGGAAACCTATGCACCCTTCTGAGTCAGCAGCCTTTTCTTCTTCCTCCACCTTTTTCTTTGTCTCCATTCCTCCGTTTACATCTCTCTCAAGCTACTTACTCCACTCTCTTCCTCCCCTCTTCTTTTTTATGCTGGTTCAGTTTGTTTTCTTACCTGAAATCCATCTCATATTCAAAATTACTCTACCATTCATCACATCAATAAACACCCACAAAGAAATTAACATATTCTTGCATTATCTGATATAGAAAGAGGAAGTTAATTAAAGAAACTGATAACCTGCAGAGATGGCGGATTGGGGGCCAGTGGTGATAGCAGTGGTGCTCTTTGTGTTGTTAACGCCAGGACTGTTGTTCCAGCTGCCTGGCAAGAACAGAGTGGTTGAATTCAATAACATGCAGACAAGTGGTATCTCCATCTTGGTCCACACCATCATCTATTTTGGCCTCATCACTATTTTCCTCATTGCCATAGGCGTTCATATCTACACTGGATAGTTGTTTTGTTCTATTCCTCTGTCTTTTTTTTTACAAGAAAATCTCATTTTGCCTTGATCTGCTTGTGTGACTTTTGGTGAGTTAGATCATTTGTGTTGAATTGATTATTGACAAGCTGCTGCTCTGAAACCTCACTACAATTTTCACTTATAAATTTTCATGAAAGTTTTTGTGTTAATCTACCTCATCATTCTCAAGCTCCTAAGTTTGTGATTTTGTATCGTCTACATCATCAATGGAGAAAATTTTTCTTGCAGACAATTGAGACTATCTTCATAAACTTCTTGTTGACTAAAATTATCAAAGAAAATACTAGGAAGATAACTTGTGAACATAGTACTTGTAAGATCTTCTAGAGGTTAAGGAAACAGTTAATATAAGGCTATAAAGTCATCTATTGCTTCAATTCTCACTCAATTTTTGCAGTCAATTCTTAATTCTAATTCTCATTTAAGTCTTAATACATATAACTAGAACATGGTATTTTATATTTGAATTAGGATCACTCACCCTTAAATTCTTCCTGATGGGAATTCAACCCACAACTTAAAAATAAGAATAAGATTTTTGCTACTACGAAATTCTTTTTGTTTTCTTTGACAAAACTATTACGAGATTAAAAGTGTGAATGTTACGAAGTTCATGCAAGATTCACATAGCTAACAAGTCCAAAGGGCTGTTTGAGAAGATGAAATTCTCATGACCAAATAGCTGAGATAACCACATCAGTGTTGGAACTTAAAAAGGGAAAAAAAAAAAAAAAGAATGAACTCATAAGAGAGGAAAAGAGAAAATAGGTATTGATCATATTTTTTATTTGAATTTTTCAGTTAATTGACCAACCTTTAAATAAGTAAATTACATTAAAAAATTGGAAAACACTAATCTCTACTTACTGTCATTTTTATATGATAGTTATTATCCTTACAAATGAGATTCATCACATATCATTTTCTTAAAATAGTAAATAAAATTCCTATTGATAACTTCATCACTTATTAACTTCTTAAAATAATACATAATTCAAATTAACTAAATTTTAATAAAATTAAATACTAAATTTATTCAACAACAAGAGTTCACAACAAGAACAGCCATTAATAAACAAGACAAGACAATAGGGACCTCAACCAAGTTCACCTCAGTATCCCATAAAAGTTTTCCCAACAAGCAGCTGACCTCAAAACCATGTCCCATGTCCTCTTTTGCAGCTCTTTATGTTCCAATCCATGCCTCGGCATATCAAAATTTCCATGCTGCAGGAAAAGAAAAATGTAAACGTGAAATTATAGTTCACAACCTTTCAATCAAAACCCAAATCGATTTGTAATTTCAAAATCAAAACCCAAATCACCATTAAACATCTACTTAGCATACATTCTGAAAACTTAAGAAACAAAGAAACAAGAAACTAACCAGGAACGTCTGCAGGAGAGAAAATGGAGCGACTCAGATGTGATAAGCTGGACATAAACCCAACAAAGTAAAAGAAAATAACCAAACCCAGAACCCAAGGCAACAAAACAAAGCCAATCGCAAAAGCAACCGAGCCAAAGACCATCAACGCCACTGAAATCCCAAGCAACAGCAACGCCAAATCCACCAGAGAGACCCGTGGCCACGAAACGGGTAAACCCGGGTGAGCCTGCAGGTGCCTCGAAGACGACGAAGAAGAAGCAAAGGAGTAAGTAGGTGAGAACTCGAGATGAGTTCGACGAGGAGGCGACTTAAGGATTTGAATTATCAGATAACATAGCTCGTAAAACACTCCCCATTGCTGGTCTTCTGCTGCTCTCATGGTTACCCTCTTTTCTGCTTCGAGATTGTTGAGAGTAGGCCTTAGCCTGTACTGTTTTTGAGCGGATATGTGCATCTCTGAATCTTATCTTTCGTGGATGAAGATAACGAATCGGGGAGGAGAAAGGATAAACTCTGAACAGATTGGAGGAATGGATGGAATTTCCGCGGGCAACTTTTGGGATTCGTGCAGATGAAGATGATATTTTTTTCTTGGAATTGACGAAGAAGTATACTGCTGTGTCATTTCTGTCGCATCCAATTGGGCAGGATGAACCTGAAAATTTTGAAACAATTTGGAAAAATCCGTTTTGTATAGGAAGATAGCAGTTAATATACGTATTTGAAATAATATAAAAATGTTTTTGTTTAAAAATAATTAATTTTTCAACTACTCTTTAGTATAAAATATTATTTTTATTTATAAACTATTTTAATTTGTTATTAACTTTTTAATTTTACAAATTATTTTTCTTAAATATTTACCTATTTATATAAAGTGTATATGTATACTCTATAATTTATATATTTAAAATTAATATATAAATATAATTTTTAAAGTTTTAAATTTTTATTTAATGTACAAATAAAGAAAAATGGGTGAAGTATGAAATTGAAAACAATTTTGAAAAAAATAGGTGAAAATTTGGGTTCTGAGAATGTTTTTGAAAAAATAATCAGAAACTGTAGTTAAAACGCAATTTAAGAAAATTGTGCCAAGAGCCCAATCAGCAACCCCGGTGAACGAGCACGTCGCGTGGCAAGGCACGCTGATACAGTGCCACGTGGGAGGCCACGCTAGCGATTCGTGTGCCCGTGATCGGACGGTCCGGATCCGTTTCCCTTTTAAATGCGATCGGACGATTCAGATTAAATCGCGATGAACGATCCAGATCCACTTCCAATTTAAACGCGATTAGACGATTCAGATCAAATCACAATGAACAGTTCATATTTATTTCTTATTTAAACACGATCAGACGATTCAGATCAAACGCGATGGACGGCCCAAATTAAAAGGAGACAGAAATAAATAACCATCTTTACACCAAACTCTAACCCTAGCTGCCAGACCCCCTCGCCAAAGAAGAAGAGCCAGTCGTCGGGAAGGGAGTCGACCACCGCCTGCCACTGCGCCGGAGCCACTTCTGACCGCCAAAAGAGGTAAAATTTTCTCCATTCACTCGAAACTCAATTTTGAACACCCTCATGACCAAATCGGAGAAAAATGACTGGCGGATGGGCCGAAAACCGTAGGAAAAAGTTAAATCTACCTTCGATGAGGCCCTTCCCAATTTTCGTTTTGTGTAATTTTTTCATCATTGTAATCATCATTCATTTCTCTATAAATTGACCGAAGCAAAACACCCAACAGCTAAGGTGAGCTGGCAGAGCCGCCGTACCGAAAAACTATGACGCCGGTAAGCTTCGGTTTTTCGACTTTTTTGGGTCAACCGAAGTCCCTTAACGTATTTTTTTGCAGGGATGGGTACAAACAGACCGAAATCAACCGAAAACGGCCAACCTGAGGCAAACCGACGCTGCGAGCGGTGGTGCCGTTGCTGGAGCACGACGAAGCTGCCTTGCCGGAATTCCAAAATTGGCCAAAAGGGTTTCTAACACTAATTTTGGATTTTTTTGGGTATTTCTAGGTACTTGAAGCGTGTTTTAATTCTCGAAAAAAAATTTAGGGAATCCGGGAACTGCCAGTAGGCGCAGCTGAAAGTGTAGTATTTCATATATCAATTTGAACAAGAATCGCTCACCCTATTCCTTTTTATAGAATTGAAGTTTAATTATAAATAATGTGGTCTTTTGTACAAATTATGAAATATCCATAATTAATTACAGATTACTAATTGTAACGCTTTGTTTTTTTTTTCTTTTAACGACGTAGTCTCAAACAGTTCAATGGTCAAATACTAAAATCTCATTCAAAATCAGTCGCACACATAGAAAAGAAACTACCACAATCTACTGCTCAATATCAAATATAAACCTTCAACCATAAATGTGTCATTATAGTGAAATACAAACTCATATATCCCTAGTAAGCACACAATCTACACTACTACTAACTATTTATATACTCAATTCTACCAGTAGAAATTCTTGCACTGTTGCTCTATACGCTAGACTTGGAAACTGACAACTCTGATCCCGACTTCATCCCTACTTCATCTATGAATAATAAAAAGTGAGTACATATAACTCAGTATAGTAAAAATTAAGTTACAAGTATCATATGCAAACCAATTTAAAACCCCATTTTTATATGTTTTCTTTTTCTGTAGCCTAAGTCATACTTTCTTACTACCATTTAACTACACAGGATTAATACGTATCCCCCGGTATTTTAAGTGTTGCTCATGCTAGGTGTGACCGTCCCCCGACTTCACCCCCTCGACTTAGGTTAGACCACTCAACCGTACAAATATTCTCATCCGTCACCAGTATCGACGACCATCAATGAATTTTCTATCACTCGACCCCTAATAGGCCACTCACACACACCAATACTATTTTCTTCTGTCACCAATATCGGCGACCTAACTCCTTACCCGTCGGAGACCCCCAACTATCACCACTATCGGCGATCCACTTACTCTTTCTAGATAGCGACAACCAATATCGGCGTCCCCCAGTGCAACCACCTCAAAAACAACTTCATCCCGTTCTTACTCAAGTTACCCAGTAAACTCGCATACTTGATTTTCCCCATTACTGGTATACCATTCTAAACAGTTCATACACCACAACATTGTCATAAAGCTCTTCTATACTTTTAACATGTGTACAGGACCTACACACGTCTCCCCATATAACACATACTCACACTTAGCACGCATACACCAGTACACCCCTATCCCTAATGCTCACTTACCAACTTCCTAAATTTACAGCAGCTATACCAACTTGCATGCACATGTAACTCACACCTGCACACAACACATCCCCACCAATACACCTCTATTCCAATCCCTCACACACACCCGCTACAGGTCTCCCTTTCCTACTCCTTAATTTTCAGAATACACACACTCCACCCCTACATGCCTA